GGGACAGACCTCAGACTTACCTAGCAGGGAGTAGATCTGTGTCAGTACCCTGGCAGGGTACACTTGTATGGGACAGACCTCAGACTTACCTAGCAGGGAGTAGATCTGTGTCAGTACCCTGGCAGGGTACACTTGTATGGGACAGACCTCAGCAGATGTTTGGACATCAATACCATGTTCCAACAGATGCTCCTGAATTTTTAAGTTCTCAGCCAGTATTACCACTGTAATATAGAATCAGTAAACAGAGTGATAGGTTTACACAATAAGACCCTAAGCATAACCTAAAATTATTGTAGTTTTTTTAAATAAAATATATTTACCTTGCACAACTATGTCTGGCTTCGGTTCAGAAACCAGGCGTCGATTCAGAGGATCTAGTTCACCGGGAGATAGAAAATTCTAAAAAAAAAAAAAAACATTGTGCAATGATTAATACAGTGTATATATCTATATAATTGATGATGCCAATGGATTTATACCAGATCACTCTCATCACACAACAAAACACCTCAAACAAGGATAGGAAACTGTTTAGTGCTGCCTTCAATGTCAGGTTTCAAAATACTTTTAAACTGTGAAATCTCAATTAAATATCATTATCAAATTTGAGGACCCTTACGATGACAGTATGTATTCCTCCCTAGATAAGAATACAGTTTGCCTTCTATATTACCTCCAAGATCAGTCTGCTGAGGATCAACATAGACTCTCCCCACATCTGTGGTAACTTCCCGATGGCCACTCGCTTCTGGCTATTTGGATTTCTGTATTCCTCATCTACCTATAATATTAATACATTTCCTTCTAAATCTTGACAAAAGAAGGAATACATTTTGGCCTTCAAAATGTTCAGTACCCTATTGGCTGATGTGCTCAAATATGATGTCATGATATAGGATACATAATGTTATTAAAATTTGACATTTTGTCAAGCAGAAGAATATCTATCGTTAAAACACAGTCGGCATGTGACATCGCTTCAGGGAAATAAACAATTTTATTAAACCAACTTGCTGGGAACCTTTCCAACGATCTTGGTAATTTGTACAGTATCTAGAAAATTGACTTCATTTATTGTTGCATTTTGCAATGTTATAGTTGATTTGTACCAAATTCCATGGTAAGTGGTGGGAGAAAAATAGTCAATTATTATATACGTTTCTGGGAGAGAGAAAATCTATCCTCAGGTGTACAATTTGGGCTCAGATCCTCAGCAAAGCTTTGGTCCTGATCCAAATTCTACACCCTGAGATAAATGTTCTCTTTCCCCATATTTTCTATTAATTAAATATATCCATCTACACAATGATATGTAATTGTGTAGAAACAAGATCCTCAATTAGCCTCAAAATAATTTATACACATGTAAAGTATATCAATGCATCTCATTGTTGCGAAGGGAGAACAGAATCTCATACTTCAACTTTAATTTACAAAAAGATCTATGAATCTGAAACATATACCAACACCACACATGTTACCTTGTCAGCTGGCACTGTGTATAACTCGGGCATCATCAGAACCCCATCATCTCGCTTCTTTAGGACACTATCCAATAGGTCCCTGTACTTGATCACCTGTTCAATGTAACATCAGTACTACAGACTAACATCTTATAATACTAGTAGTATCTCAATCCTGGGTGACTTAGTTATTCTTTATTCATCATTGTGGTGCGTTAATTACAAACCAGCATATTAATGAACTCAGTCGCCTGAGGTTTCAACTAATCAGAACCCATTAACTCAATTTAATAATAAATTTGTAAATAGTGTAAACTTTTGCACTTGATTACAGTTTGTAACTTGTATGAGTATTTAAATCATGAATGGCAATCAGCTGTCTAGTACAGTATGGTAAGATCAACAAGGTGGAAGTCATTGCTTAGTACCATATAACGGGTTATTTACAAAGTTTATTATTGCGACTCATTTTTCTAGGCTTGTCATATTTTGGTGATCATGCGAGACCACTAAACAAATCCCCGCGGAAATATCCTGCAATACAGTATTACCAATGTTAAGTATGACCAATAAACTACCGTCTGAAGCCTGTGATGTAAACACTTACCTGCTCTTCGTTACCATTAAATAGTCCATCCAATAAGAAATAGGCAAAGAACATGGGCCACTGGCACTCGATCTTCTCAAACATCTGTAGTTCCCAGGGCTCGTAGTAGAGCCGAGACGGATCCTGTGACAGTAAGATGTTTGTTTAGTATCAAGGGCTCAAATAAAAACCCAACAGTGAAGGGCTCGCAACAATGCTGTAATAGATACTGTCAAGTAACACGTGTTATTTCCAAGGGTTCATAGTGAAACTTAATCAGATAGCATAAAGTATATGTGTTATTTAAGCTCCAAGGGTCTGTAGTAGTGCCGAGACAGATCACATGTTTTGCTACATAGCTGTTGAAGTAAAGACCAGCTGCTACTACATGGGCTATATGTGTTGTTTCCTCGACTTTTATCATAAATGCTTTAATCACCTTCTGCCTATCGTTGCTTTCCCAAAATAACCTCAAAAGGTTTTTTATGTGATAATCACCCGTTTATAAACCAGCTGTATCATCATTTGGGCCATATTACCTCTCTCTGTTTTGGGGCAGTCTTTCTGGAAAGGTTTGTCTTTATCATTTACATATGACCAATAGCTTTAAAGAAAAGAAATTGTTTGTAAATAGAAAATTTTAAATAAACCAATAGTGCTTCATTCTTTATTCTGACAGTATATTAGGCAACAAACTGACTGTTACCTCCTTGGCTGTTTTATGTCCATCTCTCAAAAACCGACAGAAACCATATTTTCCCTGAAATAAGAACAAAACACAATTTGATAAACACAAAAGTCTGCTTTACAATATTTAACAAGGCTATGTAGTCATATATACTACTAGTACAGGATATACTACATTGGATAACAATTGTATAAAAACCACATAGTAATCTAAACATGTATTTATAAGTTTAGAATTCTTTGGTACTTAGTTAAACATTTAATATATGAGATTATACCATATCAAAACCTCTTCATAACTATTTCATTTTTTCATAGACACAAATATGTATATCTTATATAAAATCTCATTAATCCTTTAAAAACATATTGATGTGCATGTTAAATTTTGTGAATAAATCTGACTTTTAACAATTAATAAACAAAAATAAGAGTCTCGGAATATTAAAGTTTCCAGTATCTCCGAGTTAAACGTATCAGCTGACTTCTGTTACCTCGAGTTGTTGTTGTATGCGTCTCCTGGTCTCACTGATCAGGCGTACATCATCAACAGCGAAAGCTGGGTAACTTATCACTGTGATCAAGGCAGCATCTATTTCCTACACAAAAAGGGAAAAGCTATGGTGAAAACACTACTAGCACAGCGGATAAGAGAAAAATCTTGCCCTTTGAGATAGAAGTATCGGTATAAACATTGTATAAGAGTCTTAATCAACTTAAGATATGGAGGCATCTTACAAAAAGTCACTTCCAGGTTTTTACAAGATTCCTAATATATACTTTTTATGTTATGGAGCTATAACACAAAAAAACGGAGATATACGCAAGTCAATCCTTATAATTTAATCTACTTTACACAATCCCTGTGGAAATCCACTTTTATTAATGGACTCTTTTCTCTTAGAAATTATTACGCCGCTGGATCAGCCAATCAAAAGCAACGTTACAAACGGTGACGTCGTTTTTTTACGTTATGACCTGATAACTTAAATTTTTAAGCCAATGAAAATGCTTGTTACCAGCAAGATTAAATCATATTACAATAATACCTATCAAGGATTGACAGTGTGTATTATTTACTTCTAAATTGTGAAAAAAATCATAAATGCTTATTGTATTTACATCACAACTTGGTGGTTTTGACAGCCCTTTTCTATTTACAGTAAAACATAAACGCCCTGTAACGTTAGTTTGCTTTTAGATAACATAGTTTGATATTCACATGACAATTCAACAACAGGGACACAATGATTCAAAAATTCACAAAAAGCATGTATGCAGATTGCTTTACTAGTGTATTAAACATGAAACATCCAAAGCTACATTTTACTTCTTGTTTTTTATTACCTACAAACTAAACTATTGCTGTCTGCGAAATACTGATTGTTTTCATTAAAAAAATATTATCTGCAAGGTGTGTAAATCTGCTGATGAATTCATGGTGTCTTAGCGTTACCTTAGAATTGGATTCTTTAGGCAGCATAGAATGTAATATGGCCTGAAATGAAAGAAATATCATAATAATACATTTCAATGTTTACAGACATAATATATCTAATAAATAACACAGACTCTTTAGAAAATATCATGGTCATTAATCATGTCACATTGACTTTTGATATCGTACAGTACATAATATCTGTATTTTCAACCTATGTCACAGTGACTTTTGATATCGTACAGTACATAATATCTGTATTTCCAACCCATGTCACAGTGACTTTTGATATTGTACAGTACATAATATCGGTATTTCCGACCCATGTCACAGTGACTTTTGATATCGTACAGTACATAATATCTGTATTTTCAACCTATGTCACAGTGACTTTTGATATCGTACAGTACATAATATCTGTATTTCCAACCCATGTCACAGAGACTTTTGATATCGTACAGTACATAATATCTGTATTTCCAACTCATGTCACAGTGACTTTTGATATTGTACAGTACATAATATCTGTATTTCCAACCCATGATATCATTTTTTATTGAAACAAATTTACAGAGTCGTTTAACCTGGTACTTCTTTGAGTAAACTCAGTTATGAAAACCCTTTAAAAATTCCAGAATAACGGGAACATATCATGGATAATCGAGAGCAAAAGTTACTAGTAACAGTTGCCCTCTATTCCAGTTCGTTATAATTGGTCAAATATCTGACCAATGGCAATAGGTCGCTTGAGCCTTTAGCTCTGGTAAGTGATTGAAAAACATGTATCTCCCATTCTACTGACCTGGTGTAAATATTGAACATGGATCTCCCATTCTATTGACCTGGTGTAAATATTGAACATGGATCTCCCATTCTACTGACCTGGTGTAAATATTGAACATGTATCTCCCATTCTACTGACCTGGTGTAAATATTGAACATGTGTCTCCCATTCTACTGACCTGGCACTGCTGAGCCTCATCAGGTAGTACATGGATGATGGAAGTGGGACCGCCCCGAGCTCCAAACAAATCCAGCTCATTGATGGCCTCCAGTGCTGCCTGTAACATGTATGGTATCTGATCATCAACAACGTACTATTATGAAGTTTTAGCATATAATTGTGAAACCAGTAAAATGGCATTTTTTAGAATTGTATGGTTAGCTTAGCAACAGTTCCATTACTCTCAATTGAATTCAAATCTTAATTTTTCATATTTAATACCATATTAGCAAGAACAAAAGTTACAACAATAATTAGTTAGGAAGTTCTTTATTTCAGACTTTGACTTATTTTCTATTATAAACATATTTGACCTTGAAAGTAGGTCAAAGTCATTCATTTGACCAAATTTGTTCACTCTTGATCCCAGCCAGCAACAGAACAAATATGATTTCATTGTGTGGTTCTCTCCTCAGTGAGAAACATTGCAGTGATATTGCTATCTCCATTCAACAGAAGCCTTTGCCATTTGACTTGGGAAAATATTACACACAAATAGCATGATTTTGGGAAAATACATCAGAAATAACCTAGGGAAAGGAGCCTTTATTAAACCCAAAATTCATGCTAATAACTCACTGCTTTGTGTGGTTCTAATCTTCATAGGGCTCTGGTTCTTACCTGTGCCAGCAACATCCTATGGTTCTTACCTTCATGGGGGACATCATGTAAATCTTACTTTTACAGACAACATTGTGGTTCTTACCTTTGTCAGGGACATCTTGTGGCTCTTACTTTAACAGACAACAGTGTGGTTCTTACCTTTGTGGGGGACATCATGTGGCTCTTACTTTAACAGACAACATTGTGGTTCTTACCTTTGTCACAGACATCATGTGGCTCTTACTTTTACAGACAACATTGTTTCTTACCTTTGTGGGGGACATCATGAGGTCCTTACTTTAACAGACAACAGTGTGATTCTTACCATTGTGGGGGACATCATGTGTTTCTTACTTTTACAGACAACATTGTGGTTCTTACCTTTGTCACGGACATCATGTGGCTCTTACTTTTACAGACAACATTGTGGTTCTTACCTTTGTGGGGGACATCATGAGGTCTTTACTTTAACAGACAACATTGTGGTTCTTACCTTTGTGGGGGACATCATGAGGCTCTTACTTTAACAGACAGCAGTGTGGTTCTTACCTTTGTGGGGGACATCATGAGGTCTTTACTTTAACAGACAACATTGTGGTTCTTACCTTTGTGGGGGACATCATGAGGTTCTTACTTTAACAGACAACAGTGTGGTTCTTACCCTTGTGGGGGACATCACGTGGCTCTTACTTTAACAGACAAAAGTGTGGTTCTTACCTTTGTGGGGGACATCATGTGGCTCTTACTTTTACAGACAACAGTGTGGTTCTTACCTTTGTCAGGGATATCATGTGGCTCTTACTTTTACAGACAACAGTGTGGTTCTTACCTTTGCCATACCAATGGAGCTAGAGTTGAGCTCAGGGAGACCATGGTTTGTCTTATCTCCCCTTTCCCAAATACCATAATCCTGAAATATACGGTTGTGATCAAAATTGTACTCTATATATATTATCTAACATTTAAAACTGAAAAATTCAACTGACTAAAGCAAAGATAAACAAAACCTTTTGCTATACGCTTATATCTACGTCATGGTAGGATTTAGATCATAAGCTTCTATATCTGTACATGTCTCAGCATTAGTACAGGAGGAGATTTGATCAGATGATTAAGTAACAAGAAACTGATGGAATAAATAAATTATACATTACACAGCTATTTAACTGATTTGTCCTGTCACCGACCTTGTACCACAGTGATATCGTACTAAATGTTAAATATCTAACATTACAGGTTACATATTAATGAAATGTCATGTCACTGATTTAATATGGCTACCTCATTGACTCATATTTACAATACTTATTATAATCTGACTGAAGTTTTAATCAACTACTTTGTTCTTATTAAATGTTGTAAACAACCCTGTCTCACTAAAATGATATGTCACCAATTCTGTTGTAAGTGATATCAATCTGAATTAAGACACCACTTTATAAGCCTATCTCATGGGAATGTAATGTCACCCCTACAGGTTCAGAGTCGGAGCTTTCTGTCTGTAGCCTCCGAGACCAAACAAAACGTTTTGGGTTATACCCATGCAATATAAAGGTACACAAAAAAAGCAACGTCAAAACATTTTGCTATTAAGTCATATTAATTTCAATTTCAATTCTGACATTATTATGCATTCTTTAAAGTTTTTCCCAGGTGGAAAATTGGAGTTGTGTTAATATAGGGATTTTTACAAACTTTTTATCAAACCTACAGGAGGAGAAATTACCCTAATTTGTGATGATTTTTTATTATACCATTATAATTCTCATTAATAATTTCAAAATAACAAAACACTTGATAAAACCTGGTGTCTATTGAAAACAAGTTAAACATGCTAACAATTGTTTCTCCTACTCACCGGTGTTCTGTAGGCAGACTCTATGTAGAAAACTAGATTCTGGATGTAGGCAACCTCGTCCAATGTATACACTATTTGGAGACCTGGTGATAAGAACATAGAAACAACTTCAGTTATAATGACTTATAACGACTAACCAATGTCTCTTACAATAGAAATGACAGTTTATAACAAAGTAGGTCTGAAGGATGTGAAAATTCTAACCAAGAATGTAGAAAATGGGTTAAAAACCTTAAATTGTTGGAATTTCCATTTAGTAATTCGATCCAAACACTGTCATAATGATTAACTTTATTTATCCAAAGTAAAGAAGAAAAAAACAACAACTTCAGTTTAAAAAAAAACCTGATTTCATGGTTAACGTTGTCTTAATCAGGACATATTTGCCAGAATTAAATTGCCTATATTGCCAGGTTAAAATATTGTGCTCCCAAGGGTACCATTTATTTGGGTGATAGGGTACCATTGTATTTGGGTGATAGGATTTATTTTATAAGTGTTTTACCAAAATAAAGTAAAAGATGATATTGAATTGTTTATTCAACTTCACTATTCAGTAGTAAATTGATATATAGTTTTTTTTTCTTTATCTCAGAATTTAATCATTCATGGAGATTATCATTCATGGCTTTAACATTCTCTGGGTATTTAATTTTGCACCATCTTTCGTGGCCGTGAATAGTGAAAATAAAACCCCCGCGAATATTACCAACTGTGAAGTAGTTTGTGTCTATCCATCATACCGTGATGTAAATGGGCTGTGACTCCTTTGACAACTGCAAAAAAACAACATTTTAAGTAAAATTTCAACCCTTTTCCAACAGAAAATTAACCATTTACAATGTTTTTTTGTTACCTGAGGCAGTCATCTGAGCTAGAGTTAGAATATACAGAGAGGTGGCATCTATCTGGAGGTGACCCCAATCGTCATCCCCGACCACAGGCTTTCCAGTCTTACTGCTGTACTTAGCATGCAGTGCATCCTTGGGGCTCTGGGTGTGTTTGAACTTCTCCAATTTGTCAACTTGCATCATCATACACCTCAAAAGGCCTCTCATTAATTTCACAACAGCCTGTGAAAATAAGTTAACAATAAGCATAACCTATGATGTTATGCTGTTTTCATAAATTACTTATACTACCTAGGTTTAAGTGACCTAATCTGTTGGGAAGTATAAGCTACAGTATAAATCACAAAATAACAGTACATTTGTAATCACTATTAAGTCTGACAGTATAAATCACAGAATAACAGTACATTTGTAATCGCTTTATAGTCCGACAGTATAAATCACAGAAAAATAGTACATTTTAAATCGCAATATAGCCGGACAGAATAAATCACAGAATAACAGAACATTTGTAATCGCTATATAGTCTTACAGTATAAAACACAGAATAATTGTACATTTGTAATCGCTATATAGTCAGACAGTATAAATCACAGAATAAGAGTACGTTTGTAATCGCTATATAGTCAGACAGTATAAATCACAGAATAATAGTACATTTGTAATCGCTATATAGTCGGACAGTATAAATCACAGAATAAAAGTACATTTGTAATCGCTATATAGTCTGACAGTATAAATCACAGAATAATAGTACATTTGTAATCGCTTTATAGTCGGACAGTATAAATCACAGAATAATAGTACATTTGTAATCGCTATTTAGTCTGACTGATTTTACCTGCTCCAACTCATAGGTCTTTGCTCTATCCTCATCCAGGTCAGCATTCTTCTTGTAGGCCTGGGCCAGACCCCATACTGCCATAATAGAGTACACATTGTCCCTTACCCAGGCATGGTTGTGAGTCACAGTACCTCCAAACAGTCCAGTCACAGGATCCTAGCAGAGAATTATAAAACCAGTATATAATGTATAGTGTATGGTTATAATTAAGGGGGGTGGGGGGGGTGGGGGGGGGTGTAAGAGAAAAATGCCTTGTCCAGTCCAGAATGGAAAGCAAATCCTGCTGACAGTACTCAGAATGAAACCTTCACCGTGTGCGTAGTTAAAGTATTAACTGCCTGCCTGTGTGTTTTACATTTCATCTTTCTTATATAAACAAGAATTCCTAAACTGACATCATCTGCACCTAAAAGAATGTGGCTATGGTTGATCCCTATTTAACTTGTCCTAACCAAACAGATTTGCCACTTTTTTGCTACTTCACATGTCATCTAGCTCAATCGGTTAAAGCTGCCATCTAGAGTCTGGAGGTCAAAGATTTGAAAACCGGTCTGTTCATGCATTTTTCCTCTCCTGTTTCAGTGGCGTCAGTGACCAACACCTGTTTCAAGTCACATGTACACTTGGCAACTTGAAACAAGCTAAGGGTTGGCAAGCTCTGAGGTAGCCAATTTTGTAATATGACAGGAGAAATGCAGGGCCACACTTGGATTTGAACATGGAACTCTCCCAACTCGAGAGTAAGGCTCTACCAATTGAGTTAAAAGTAGTCCAGTTCAGCTACTGGTAGTGGTTCGAAATTCCAGTTGAAGCATGCACGCTATTCTCTTTGCTAGCTGTTACAAATGGTATCTGTGGCCCTCCATATGATGACAGGGACTTAGAACCTTGGTTGATGTGGTGTTCGAGGGAAAATCATTTAAAATGGGGGAGTATGCGACAGGTTTTAAAGGTACATAGATCATGGTCGCCTTCTAATTCAGGCTAGAGGGAACTTCCCTTCAACTCAATCAGTAGAGCAGCAAACTGGGAAGCTGGGTGTTACTGGTTCGATCCCAAGTGGAAGCACATTATTCTCTTTCCTGTTACATATGTAGAGGTAAGAAATCCTGCAAACATTACAAGCCTGTCTCGAAATTTGATTGAGTTCAAAACCTGTTCAAATATATGTAAAGATACAGCTTAATAAGGTATTAAGACTTGTGGCTTACGCATTAACAATTAAATTGTAGAGATTGCATTTCCTTGTGTGTTCATATATAAGCCTTTTAAACGTCAAAAAGTATCCCTTTTGCATCAGACACATTACCAGCATTATATGTATAATTAGGTCCTTGTGACAATTTCCCTGAGCCAGGTTAGTCTAAAGTACGAAGAAAAACTCTTTATACATAACAGTTATTGTATACTCCTATGACAATGACGTTACCTGATGCTTCAGAATTGTTTTGTAAACCAAGCGCTGATAGTAATCAAGGCGCACACCAGAATTACTTCTGTTCCGCATCTTCACTGCCTAGAGTTCCACTGTAGATGTTATTTTGTGACAGAACAAACTAAGGTCATGTGGGTTCATGACATTGAATCTGGTAGTTTCGAACTTTTTTGTGATTACCAAATAGTCTTCTTTAACCCTTAATGTTATTCTTTTTGTGTAACAAATCAATAAAGTAGTTAAATATAAATGTATTGTATATATAGTTAGTGGTTATTTATTCCACATCGTAAGTTCGAAACTGTGGCTTAGCAGACCCTGGCTAGTGAAGGTCATTATAGACTTTACACAACTCGACGGTGTAAGTATGTTTTTGTATAAATTCTTATGAAATATCACTGTTCATATCAGGTTCTTGATGAATGAAATGCATTATGGATGAACAAAGTACAGAATAAATCATTGATGATAAATTTATCGGCATAATGTAGACAAGATCACAATGAATCTGAAGTCAGTTGTCACGAAAACGCAAGAATTTTCAATTTCAAAGTATTTTATTGACAATACATATATAATACAAACATATAAGTTAACATTAAAGGAGATATTTGAACAGTATTGACAAAAGAATAAGACAACAGGCTTTGCCTATATCAGTCTTCTTCTAATTCCGGTAGATATGTACAATGCTTAAATATATAAAATGTTGTGATTCGTTTCCTCTCACACTCATGCACACCCACACCCACACCAGCTTATGTCTAATACTCGTTATTTAAGGGATAAAACTTGCCTGAATAACAATAATTATAACAATACATGAATATTCATTTGGAAATTTATCTAGCACGTATAAGTAACGAAACGTTTTGATGATTTAATATAAGAGTCAACATGTATAAGAATAGTTTTATTTAATTGGTTGGATGCATTACTAATACCATATACTAAACAGTGCAGATTTAAATATCCTACTAGATTATAAATAGTGGTAATATGATGCCTAATATTAGAATACAGAGGACATTGAAAGAAAAAATGTATTAGATCTTCCCTCTGTACACCACATACACAGGAAGCATCATCAATCAGATGGTCTTGTAACTTATCACAGTTAAGATCACTTTTAAAATTTCTTAGCTGACATAAAATTATGTTAAGTTTCCTCGGAACACAGTTAATAAAAGTTTCTGAGACGGATGTATCAAAGGTTTTTTTAAGTTTCTTTTTAAAAGATGAAATTGAGATGGAGTCTCGTACAGTGCTATCAAGTGCATTCCATTTTACCATTGTAGAAGGGAAGAAGCTATTCATATAAGTAGTAGTTCTTGTCTGTGGTATATTAAAGAATCTGTTATTTCTGAAGGTATAGTTATTATTTACATTTAGAAATGGTTGAATGATATTATCGAGATAAGTTGGAGTGTAATTATTAAGAATCTTATACATTAATGTTAGTTTATGATTTTGTCTTCGTGTGTGTAATGTTTCAAGTTGTGTTTCAGTATACAGAATATGATGAGATGTACCTCGTCTGAGGCCAGTAATTAAACGCATAGCTTCTAGTTGAACTGATTCTAAAAGATCTGATTCCGATTTGGTACAATTATCCCATACTATATCAGAATATTCTAGCACAGGTCTTATATAAGAGACATATAATGTTTTTAATGTATTCCTATCAACTGTAGTTTTTAAAATTCTAAGAATACTTAGTCTAGAGTTCGCTTTCTTATAAATATTTGAAATGTGATCTGACCATGTCCCTTTACTGTTAAATGTTAGTCCTAAGTGAGTATGGTGTTCATGTTGTGCAATTGGAGTATTGTTAAATAGCAGTTGAGGATGATTGTTAATGTGTCTACGAGAGAAGTTAATAGCTACAGTCTTATTCGGATTGAATAGGATCTGCCATCGCTTTGACCATTCAGAGATTGAGTCAAGATCATCATTAAGCATGTTAGTAGGTGTTGTAAGGTCATTGTTATTATTTACTATTACATAGAGAGAGGTATCATCTGCAAAGAGTTTTATATGAGAAGTTACATTATTAGTAATATCATTAATAAAAAGAAGAAAGAGGAAGGGACCAAGGACAGATCCTTGAGGAACCCCTGCAGACATAGGTTTGGTACTAGATTTATAACCTTCAAAGATAACCCTTTGTTTTCTGTCAGATAAGTAAGCTTTAAACCAATTATATAATTTACCTTTAATACCATATGTTTTTAGTTTATATAATAGGCCCAAATGCCATACTCGATCAAATGCTTTACTTATGTCACAGAAAACAAAACGCAAATCTTTACCTTGGTCTAAATTGCCACTTATAGTATTATAGATATCAGCTAGTTGATTAGTAGTGGAGTCTTTGGGTTGAAATCCTGACTGATGTACACTTAACATATTGTGACTTGAAATATAATTAAACGTATATTTAAAAATATTTTTTTCTAACATTTTGATAAAAATAGATGTAATAGCAATAGGTCTATAATTATTGAGATCACTGATATCTCCTTTACCTTTATAGAGAGCAGTAACATTAGCCGTTTTTAGTACATCAGGTATTACTCCAATAGATAAAGTTCTATTAAATAATAGTTTGAGTGGGTATACTAAAGAAGCAGAAATGTTCTTTACAATCATAGGTAAAATACCATCAGGACCAGCTGGTTTGTTTTTATTAAAAATGTCAAATTGGTCAGTTATATCTTGTTCAGTAATGTTAATGTCAGAAAGTTCAAATGGACATAAGGGAGGTAAATCAGGTAGGTTAGTGTCAGTAATATCAGAGGCAATGGTGGTAAAGAAGTTATTTAGTGCCTCAGCTTTATCTTGTGGATGGATTAATATTTTATTGTTAGATTTTAGAGGATAAGAATTAGTGCTAGTGTTATTCATTTTTCCTATAGATTTTGCTATCTGCCACCATTTTCTTGGATGCACTGTTTTGTCGGCAAGACAATTTTGAAGTTTCTTAAAGTAATTTTCTTTGGATTGCCGAATAATTTGTATAGTGTCATTGCGACAAGTTCTAAATTTTGCCCAATCTTGTTCCCTATTTTTATTTTTAGCTCTTTTATGTAATCTATTCTTATATCTTAATTTATGCCGAATTTCACCAGTCATCCAAGGTTTATCATCAGGATGGACAGTAATTGTTTTGTGAGGTATATGAGAGTTAGTAGCAGAGTTTATTTTGTTTATAATAGTAGAATATAGTTCATTAATGCTAGTAGTGTTATTAACTATGGAATCCCAATCATTACTAAGTAGTTCATTATTAATAGCATCCCAATTAGCTTCATTGAACTTATATATAGGTTTCTTGAATGGTTTATTTTTTAGTGTCTTAAAACAAATGTTAGCAAGGATGGGGCAGTGATCACTACAGAGAGGGGAAAGTACATTTGTTGAGGTAAAAATGTTTACATTATTAGTAATAAATACATCAATTAAGGTAGCAGTAGTGTTTGTAATGCGTGTTGGTGATTGTATTAAGTTTTTTAAGTGATATTTAGTAATTAATCTTGCAAGATGTGAATTAGGTTTCATTGTGATAAAGTCAATATTTATGTCACCAGTGATAATGATATTAAGATTAGTATTAGAAAGATTATCTAAAATGTTATCAAGTTTATTCCAGTAATCTACTTTTGTATTAACGCAAGAATTAACGTACATGTAATAACCAGTCACTACAGTAGCCTCGTCTGTCACTAAAACTATAAGATTATGGTATGGTGTTCTGATAGACGAGGCTAGAACCCGTGCAATAACTAAATCGCTTTCCACTTTCCGAATTAATCTTGTCCCTGTGCTCTTGTACTATATATATACACATGGGCCTACACGGAACTATCCAACTAAACGAATGTACAATGTAGTAGCACGCGTACAAGTAATACTAAATAGTGATAAAAATGGTGCCATCGCTGGGGCTCGAACCCGCAACCCTTGGCTCTCCAGCCCGATTCTCTACCGCTGAGCTAAAGGGAAATTCCCTACAGCTGACGCTTTTAAGGCAACCTTATTAATCCACATCTTTTACACGAATGCCGCTCATGGAGAACAGACTATTTAGTATTTCCTAAAAGTTGTTTCAATATTTTATGCATATACTTATGTAGCAAGAGTGGAAAAATGCACGTCCAGACCGTGGTTCAAACCAGAGACCCTCCAAACCCTAGACAGACAGTCGAGCTCTATAACCCATTGAGCTATGAACCTTTAAAAGTTCCTCCCTCCCACAGGGACCTGATAATTTATTACAGCTATATTTGGACCTAAACTAAGGTATTCAGAGTAATTATCTCCTCGCAACATAAGTTCAAGGGGTTATAGGATTCCGTCCGTTTGTACGTACAGTATGTTACACTCAAGCTCTCTGTCATCGCTCTAGCGACTTCATTCCTCAACGGAACTTCATGAAACTTCATGTAAGTGCATGTTTAGTATGACAATACCTTGAACAATTTCGCGTTTCAGGTTTCTACATCGAATGTCAAGGTCACTACTACTATTATCAGAAAATCTCTGTCATCGCTCTACCGACTCCAGTCCTCATGGAATTTCATGAAATAGTATGGCATAAATGCTTTGAACAAATTCGCGTTTCGGCCGGTGTCTATATCATAGGGTCACTGTTACTAATTTTAGAAAAAAAACTTTATCACTGTCATCACTTTAGCGATTCATAACTGAAAGGAACTCATGAAACTTCACGCAAGTGTTTGGTACAGCAATGCCTTGGACAAGTTTGCGTTTCTGGTTTCTTTGTTCAAGGTCAAGGTCACTGTTACTTTTTTTAGAAAAACTTTGTCATCAATCTACCCACTTCATTCCTCAACAGAATTTCATGAAACTTGATACTGTAAGTGTTTGGTATCAACTGTGGCAATGCCTTGAACAAGTTCACGTTTCAGGTTACTGAATTAAAGGTCAAGGTCACTTACTGTTTTTACAAAAACAATTGTCATTGCGCTATCGACTTCATTCCTCAAAGGAATTTCCTGAAACTTAATACAAGTGTTTGGTATGGCAATGTGTGAATGCGAGGGCATTTGTATCAGTTGTGATGCTTTGTTTGTTTTACATGTTTTATGTGTTTAGATTGACTTTCGGT